TTAATCTAGAGAGGATGTAGAAGAGTCAGAGTGAGGGTCAAGATGGGCTTCCACTAGCATCATGTCTTTTCGGTCTTGATAAAATATGCTAAGTGGGGGCAGTCTGCTGCAAGAGCTGCAGTGATAGACTGCTTCACTCATTCATCCAGCAGTTAGCAGGCAGCTTCCCTGAGCTGGTTCCTGCCAGGCTCCCAGGATGCTGGGATGAATGCATCTGGCTAGAAGGGGGTGAGTGGGCAGGTTGGGAATGAGCAGGCGTGTGGAGGGTCTGGAGAGCTGCACGTCGTCTCTGTGTTGGAGCACGTTTGTGATTGTTTGGGGGAAGTGCAGAATAACACAATTCTAGTTGAGTACACAGTGCTAAAGAGGCTAAGGGTAAGAGAAAAGCCAGGATGGGTTTCTTAGAGGGACTCATTGAGTTTGATTTGAAGGAAATATGAGATGGAATTAGCAGAAAGTTCATTGGAGGGCACTAGAATTTGGCATACTCTTCTGTAAAAAGGCATGGAGATGGGAAGAAGCAAAGAAAGGTCTGAGTTTAGGGTTCAAGAAAGTGAAGGGTTGAGGTTGTTGGTCAGAGGAAAGAAGACAATGAACTGTGAATGGGACCCCTCAGAAGTCGAGGTCTAACATATAAATGCCCTTCCGTGGCTATGACAGAATCAGTCTCTGTCTCCTTTCTCTTGTAGGCATTGGGAGCAAGGAAAAGGAGGCGAAACCCCAGCAGGAAGACCTGAAAGGGGCGCTGGCGGGACTGACATCCGAGAGGTTTGGGGAGGCTGTTCTCCAGGGCCCTGGGCTCGGAAGGGCCTGTGAGCAGGAGCCTGGTGGCTCTGGGGGCGGCGTGCCTGGGCTTCCTCCACCCCAGCATGGCGCCATCCCCCTGCCTGATGACCTGAAAACCCACAGCTCCTTCTGGAAGCCTTTCCAGTGCCCCGAGTGTGGAAAAGGCTTCAGTCGGAGCTCCAATCTCGTCAGGCACCAACGAACCCATGAGGAGGAGAAATCCTACGGCTGCGTGGAGTGTGGGAAAGGCTTTACCCTGCGAGAGTACCTGATGAAGCATCAGAGAACCCATCTGGGAAAGAGACCCTACGTGTGCAGCGAGTGCTGGAAGACCTTTAGCCAGAGACACCACCTGGAGGTGCACCAGCGTAGTCACACGGGCGAGAAGCCCTACAAGTGTGGAGACTGCTGGAAGAGCTTCAGCCGCAGGCAGCACCTGCAGGTGCACCGGAGGACTCACACCGGGGAGAAGCCCTATACCTGCGAGTGCGGCAAGAGCTTCAGCAGGAATGCCAACCTGGCCGTGCACCGTCGTGCCCACACCGGGGAGAAGCCCTATGGCTGCCAGGTTTGCGGGAAGCGGTTCAGCAAAGGGGAGCGACTGGTGCGACACCAGAGGATCCACACGGGAGAGAAGCCCTACCACTGCCCTGCCTGTGGACGCAGCTTCAACCAGAGGTCCATCCTCAACCGGCACCAGAAGACCCAGCACCGCCGGGAGCCCCCGGTGCAGTGAGGGCCACATGGCGGGCAGCCTTGTGGAGGGTCCCCTCATCTTCCTCACTGCAGGGCCCTGCGGGGTGTGGGTTGATGGCTGCAGAGGACACTTGACCTGTCGCCTTTCTTCCCATTTTCAAATGTGGGAAAAGGACAAGGTCTTGTTTACTTAGAGCTTCCAGAGAGCACAGCTGCTCTGTCTCTTACCCAGGTGGTGCTACAAGTTTTCTGACCATCTTCTAGGGAAAGGGTCTCCTGACATTTAGTCCAGGCTGAGATTTTCTCCCTCAGTGGGTGTCATACCCACCTGTTGAACAAGGCCAAGTAAAGGCAGAACTTGGTCACATGTTGGCAGCTGGAGCCTTGTTTTCTGAGGATTGCGTCGCAGGGTTATTAGCTCGGAATCTTCCCCACCTAACTCTCTTTAACATTTAACCAGTATTTATTGCACACCCCTGTCCTGCCGGCCCTGGGAATTCAGGAGTGAATGAGATGTGAGACCTGGTTCTCAAGGAGCTTGTGCTGTGCAGTGGGACGCACTGCAGTAGTCAGTACCCAGAGCCTTCTCCAGTACATCTGGGCTGAGAGCCCCGAGTGCATCTCGCATGCTCACTCCTGCCCGGCCAGCCCCTGTGCTGATCTTCCACTCCACTTGGGATCTTCTCCCAGGCAGTTGCATTCACCTTATTTGTAGCCTCCCTTGTGTCTGGCTGTAACCTCCTACCCTCGTCTGTAAAATTTTCCCATCTGTTATTCCTTGCACTAAAACAGTTGTCTGCACACTCACTATTAGCTGAAACTAATATTTTGCTATTGGTCACTGAATAAATGTGAGAGTATTTTTAAAAACATTCAGTTTGCTAACACTGTGGTCCCCAGCCTTTTTGCTATCAGGGACTGGTTTCCTGGAAGACAGTTTTTCCATGGACTAGGGGCGGGGGGCTGGGAGTGGTTTGGGGATGATTCAAGGGCATAACTTTTATTGTGCACTTTATTTCTATTATTACATTGTAATATATGATGAAATTATATAATTCATCATAAAAAGGAGGTGCAGATGGAAGTGGTAAATAAAATAATGGGCAGGCCATGCACAGATGGAAATAAGTGTCGGATTCTGACTTAAAGCCTGCTACCAGATACAGCTGTACAGTTGAAGTATATCAACTCACTTGCCAGTCACAGATAAGATTTTGGTATGAGTCTGCAAGCAATTGATTTATTATGGTCTCTTTATTATAGTGCAGTCAAACTCACTGCTAATGTTAATCTGTATTTTTTTTTTGAGAAAGGATTTATTGCAAGGATAGAGAAGCTCTCTTAGTGGGAGGGGACCCGAAGGGGTTGCCCCATTAATCTATTTTTAACTGCTCCCCAGCACTAGCATCACCACCTCAGCCTCACCTCAGATCATCAGGCATTAGATTCTCATAAGGAATGTGCAACCTAGATCCCTCCCATGTGCAGTTCACAATAGGGGCACACTGATGAGAATCTAATGCTGTCACTGATCTGACAGGAGGTAGGACTCAGGTGGTAATGGGAGTGAGGGGAGTAGCTGTAAAAACAGATGAAGCTTTGTTTGTTGGCTGGCCAGCTGTTTACCTCCTGCTGTGCAGCCAGGTTCCTAACAGGCACTGATACCAGTTCATGGCATGGAGGTTGGGGACCCCTGTTCTAACAACTGATTAAATGAGTCTGAAAGATGAGATAGTATTAATGCTCTATATTTGATGGCACTTTATAGTATATGCAATGCTCTTCTCTATTTTCATTTGATTCATTTCACAAGTATTGAGGCCCTGCAATGTGCCAGGATCTCTTCTGGATTCTTTTTTTTTTTTTTTGAGTTGTAGTCTCACTCTGTCACCCAGACTGGAGTGCAGTGGCCGCTCCCAGCCACCGCAGCAGCCTCGACCTGCTGGGCTCTGGTGATCCTTCCGCTTCAGCCTTCTGAGTAGCCGGAATTACAGGTGTGCGCTACCACTCCCGGCTGATTTTTTAAAAATTTATTGTAGAGATGAGGTCTTGTTGCCCAGGCAGGTCTGGAACCCGCAGGCTCAGGCAATCCACTCACCTCAGCCTCCCAAAGGCGCGGGATTACAGGCTGAGCCACCGAGCCTGGCTTCTTCTGGATTCTTAAGATGCATGTGTGAATAAAATAGGGAGAGAAAATATCTGATCTCGCAGGGCTTACATTTTAGTGAAGGTACTTTATCTTCAGAACTCGTGGGTACTTTCTTGAATCCTTGGGGCCTGGGACTGGATCCTGTATTCTTGACCCTATCAGCATCTTGCCATGAAATGCATTCACCACCTCCCTTTTGTTGTAGAAAGGCCTCTGTCCTCTAGACCCTTGTCAGAGACACTCAGAGTCCTGGACACCAGCTGCGGGTGATGAGATGGCGGTGACCTGTTTTGCATGAGTGCCAGTTCAGGAAAAATAAAGATTGTTGTAGGACTTTGGGGAAAAAAAAATCTTTTTCAAAAATGAGAAGGTGCAGTATTTGTAGCTGTGTTTAGCTTCTATTATTTTGCCATATCTAAAGGGTTTCTTTCTATTTGAAATTCTGGAAGGAGTATAACTAGTATGAACTGCACTGTGGTGTGATTCTTGTGCTCTGCCTTTGGACACTGGCTGCTGGATGAGTCTGTCTTTTGTTGACAGTATACTACAATTACAAGATGTGGTGCGTCTTCTGGTGCCTCTTCGTATCTAATTTTACTGAGATTTTTCCCCCATTTTCCATTGTAAATGAGGTTAATGGTAATGACTAACACAGGGCTTATTACTCAGACACTTTGAAACGTGATTTTGTCACATATTTCTTGGCAGGAAGCCTTGGCATTTTAATTTTGATTTGGCAGGTGACCCTGATCCTCCTGGCCCATCAATTGAACTCACAAGCCTCCTCTGACAAGGGCGTTAAGTGTATCTGAGACGTCCACAAGGGGCTGCTGTTGTGCCTCAGTAATGCCCAGGTCCATATTCAAAATCTGCTCTTTTATCTCCAATTCTCAAAGCAGCTAGGGAAGGCTGACAGTGCCCCGCTAGCCAAACCCAGTGGGAGGCTTCTAGTGTCATGGTGACTGGCTGAGCTGGCTGAGGGGGCCCTCCACAGAGGTTGATATTCCTAGGCCAGTTGACTATAGAGGCCCCCAGGGGTTGGGAGTTGCTCTTCAAGGGTCTGTTTACCTGAGTTAAATTGTCGATGTTCTTTGATTTGATCAGGCGTTTAGCCAGCTGGCCTCTGGCTGTTGGTTTTCAGCAAGATGGACTTCTTGAGAGATGCTTCAGTAGGAGCTGGGCCTGGCTATCTTTCCCATCTGGCCTCTTCCCCAACTGCTGTAAGGCCAAAGCTTATGGACAGTGTCTCAAAAAAGCCTCTGTTAAAAGGAATTTTTCCCATGGAATTTCAATAGCCTTATTTTTATATTCAATTGTCAACAAATATTTTACCTGTATTTTTCTATTCTGTAGACTTTTCTTATAATAGAAAATGGCAAACATATTTAATTGTATTCTTATGTATTCATCATTTACTTTATTATAAACTGATGGCCAATCTTACTTTATCTCTACCCACTCCTTCCTCTTAATTTTCCTCCTCCACTGAAGTGTTTTGAAGCATAACTCAAAATGTTTATAAACATTTCAGTGTGTATCTCTAAAAGGTTAGGGCTCTTAAAAACATACTGTTATACCTAAAAAACCCCAACAATTTCTTCATGTCAAAATATCCAATTAATGAATTTTAAGAGCCCAGCTAATTTTTTAAATACATTATAACTTATTTATTTGTCTTGGAAGTCTCATAATCTATAGTACTTAACCTTTTATTTTTGAAATTTGTTCATTAAAAAACGGCATTATTTATCCTGTGGAGTTTTTAGATTTGGAATTTTGGCGATTACATACTCATGGTGTTAATATATTTCTCTGGCCTCTGTATTAACTGAAAACCTCAGAGATGTAACCAGATTCATTTCATATTTTGACAAGGACACGTTATAGATGGTGGCATGTCTTGTTTCTTTTCATATGATGTTAGGATCCTAGATCTGTTTATTTCATTAGTCCTATAAATACTTCATTGTTTAGTAGCTGGAATACTTATGTAAGAAATTTCCCTTTGTTCATTATTAGATTACTCTTAGGTACAGTTTATACAGGAAAGCCAGGATAAATGCTTGATCCTCCCCTTTATTTGCCTGTTTTTAGAAAAGGCTGGTTGCTTTGCTTCCTGTAAAGGCAATCAAGTTTTTATAATACTGTTTATCACTTACAAGGAATGAGGGATTCTTAAAGAAATGGCAGATTGTATGGTAGGACAGCACAGGTACAAGATGAACCTGGAAGAATTCGTTATACAGAAAGTAAGGAAGGTCTAAAATAAACAGATGATGGGATCATATAAGGATGCAGAAACCAGCTTAAAAGGATTTCCACTGGGCAAATCTCAATTTGAACACCAAAGTAATTAAGTACAGTAAAGAATGATGGGTCTAGCCGGGCTCCGTGGCTCAGCCTGTAATCCCATGCCTTTGGGAGGCTGAGGTGAGTGGATTGCCTGAGCCCATGGGTTCGAGACCCGCCTGGGCAGCGAGACCTCATCTCTACAATAAATCAAAAAATCAGCCGGGCGTGGTAGCGCATGCCTGTAATTCTGGCTACTTGGAAGGCTGAGGTGGAAGGATCTTCGGAGCCCAGCAGGTCGAGGCTGCGGTGGCCGGGAGCGGCCACTGCACTCCAGTCTGGGTGACAGAGTGAGACTCCAACTCAAAAAAAAAAAAAAAAAAAAAAGAATGATGGGTCTACAGACAATAGATAAATACATAAGGATAATGTACAATGTCTAATGCTTACTGGTAGATATGGAGGGAGGACTCGGGGTTGGTAAAATCAGCATTTTGCAGATGCCTTAGTAAAGATTAGCAGAGTCATGAATCATCCAATAGATGGTAAATCTAGGGAGAAATGTTGATGAAGATAATTTCATGGTCCTAAAACATCTCCCTACAGATCACTTATTAGTTGTGAGGGAAAGATAATATTTATAACTGGAGAAATCAGGTAATATCTTGCCAAGTGATCAGCATTACTGAATGAAAGGTAGAAACTGTGTGCCTTCAGTTGTCTACTCTGAAAAAATAAACCAACACCTTAATAGCATTGTACCTGGAAATGTATAACCTGAATTTAATGATGAGGAAACTAGACAAATCCAAAATGAGAAACATTCTTTTTAAAAAGGGGAGGCGGAAGAGAGTGTTTTTTAAAATAGTGTCAGTATCATCAAAAAGAATGGCTGTGGAAATGTTCCAAATAAATCCAAATTAAAGGAG